CCCTAATCAACTATCATTATGAAACATACGCATAAAAAACGTGAATATATAAATTTGAGAAAGTGAACATAATCATGCAAAGTATGAACATATGCATATGTTTTTTGGTAGAATAACCATTCAAAATATGAGCATATGCAATTCCAAATATGAACATAACCATTCAAAATATGAACATTGCCATCATTTTCTTTAGTGAATATCAGCATTTTAGAAATTGAACATATGCATACAGAATATGAACATATGCATAAAACATGTGAATATAAGTGAACATAATCATGCAAAGTATAAACATATGAATGCATAGGTTCCCTCAAAGTGAACGTAAGCTTTTTAGAAATTGAACATATATATGCATAAAGAACATATGCGTACAAAAATATGAACATATGCATAAACATACTTAGAATATTTCTTGAACAACAAATATTTATATTAGTAACATTTTGAAAAAAATCAATGAACATAATGCATAAAAATAATGAACATGCAATAGTATAGGTATATTTTCTAATCAAACATTGGCCGTTAGTATATTAGTTGATTCTTCTTGTGTTGTTTCCTTTTTGATTTCAGCTCTAGGAAAAATATTACCCATCCAATTCCATGGCTCTCCAACTTCATCCTTTCGACCACCATATCCTTTGTCCATACAGATATGATAGGAGGAATTCTTGGTGGCACGGTGTTTTTCTTTTGAAAGCAATCAAAGTAAAACAACTGAAAAGAAAAACAGAAAAAAATCATGAATTTAGCATAAGTACAAATAACATTAAAAAAAATGAACATACTGTATATGAAAATAATGGCATACCATAAGAAAAGGTAGAGGTTCTTTGTAAAATCCACTTGGATTCAATTTCCAAGAATGTTTGTATCCATTAAGCTATCAAGGACATACTTGCACCAATTATATTCCTTGAGTTCAAAGACATTCTTGATTGAGAACAGAAACTTATAGTGGCATTGTATGCTTTGGATGCACTTCATGAAACAATTTATAGCCAACACAATGAAATCAATAATGAAGATTTCATCAACTTCAACATTGTTCACTTTCGCAGGTTCAGTGTTCATTTCTAGATTTTTTTTTGTTCATCTTTTCTTTCATTATTTCCAAATTCTTCTTATTTTCTTCCTCACTCATACTTCTGCAAAATTTTGTGTGTTTAGGGTTGCCAAATACAACACCCTATTATTTTCTCCATCTAGTCAAAGGAGTCTCTTCTTGTTCCTCATATCCATCCTCATTCACTTCTTTCTCCCCTTTCGGGATTCCATACACAACTTCAACATCTTCTTCACAAATAACAATAGATTTGTTGTATGGAAGATAAAGTGTGAGGCTATTGTCTTCAAAACAATGCATAAGCCGAGCAGAAAATGATTAGTCATTTTGTGGCAGATTTACTTTAAGTAATGCTCTAAATTCCATGTTAACAATTGCTTGTTTTTTTTTAAAAGGGCTCAAATTTGATGCAAACGTTATGAATTTGAAATGGTCAACCCTCACTTGCAACTTACCATAATCCTTGCACATCTTCAACATCATCAAGATTCAGCAACTCATGTACATCTTCAATTTCACCTCTCTTTCTTTTTTTAGGTGCCTTCTCACTTTTTACACCCTCAACTTTCTCACTTTTTTTCTCTTCACCACCTCAACTTTGTCACTTTTCTGAGTTTTCTTTTCTTTCACACCTCTATCTTTCTCCATTACTACAAAAACTAGATTAAAAAACGCAACATATAGAACGGTTGACTTAGATAGGCGATCTCCAAGATTATATATAACGATTGTCTAAGTTAACCGTTCTATTTGATTTACTTATTATTTTTATTAAATTGTAATTTTATTATATAGAATGCATTTCTTAGTTAATCGTTCTATTTGATTTTAACATATAAAAAAATAAAAAATAAATAAAAAACTGGCAAACCCTATTTCATTCCTTATGGATTAACGCCTTTCTCATTTTCTCAAACCCTATCTCATACTATCAGCCGTTAATGGCTTCTTCTTCTTTTTTTTTTTTTTGAAGCCAAGCCGTTAATGGCTTCGTTCTTTCCCTTTCCCTTCTTCAAAATTTTTCTTTTTCTTTGTTTCTCTTATATTATCAGATCTGGTTTAGAGTTCTCCATTGCTCACTCTAACCCTAACTCCATCAAATTCTCTAATTGTAAAACACCCATCTTGTCCTCAATATAAAATGCCCAAATTTGGAGCTTCAACAATGGTAAAACAACAAGCAACGAAGATAAAAATCGAAGATTCCCTCCCTTGAACGATTATGAATGTCCAATTTCCACACTCCAATTTTAATTCTTCCATCAATGATTTCGTCAAGAAGGTCAACTTCTCTCTCCCCTCTTCGATTTTACATAAACATCGATTTCTTCAGAATTGGAATTGATTGTCAAATTCTTATGAGCATCAGTTTTTGTTTGAATCTATCTGTGTTAATGACTTTTAAAATGGATTTCTATTAGTTCATTGTTAATTATCATTTATTTTTTGTGCTTATTCTTTCCCCACATCTATTTTTATTTGTTAATTGTTCATCCAATTAAGGTGAGATCTTTTGATTTTAATCACTAAATTTTTGTGTTTGTTGATTAGTTTTGAAATGATGTATAGTTTTGTGTTCAATCATTGTTTTGTTTTCATATTAATAAGATAGATGATTCATCTAATATTTTTTTTCAAGGATATTAAGTTTAATTTGATTTATTTTGTTGAAAATGTCGACAAACATATGACAGACCTTACAATTGTTAAAGATGTTTTATTTTCATTATCAATGTATCTCATACATTTATAACTTGTTTTTTATTTCAATAGATTCATCGGACATAAAAGGAGAAGAAATTCTTAAAGATCTTCCTGGAATCATTTATCAATATCATGTTCTTCGATTTTGATTCACTTGAAATGTAACAAAATGTACTGGAGATGTATTTAGTTGAATATGATAATAAAGTTTGTTTTAATTTAGTATTTGATTGACTTCGAGTTTTACAATTTAAATTCAATTTGATTTATTGATTGATGATGTAGATTAGTACGGATGCAACCTCCGTGCTGTATTATTATACTTTTTTTATAAAAAATAATTAAAGAGAACGGTTATCTTAGCTAACCGTTCTCTTTTATTCATTTTTTATAAGCATATGAAGTAGGAAAGAGAACAATTATCTTTTGCATATAGAACGTCTCTTGTACCCGTTCTCTTTTCCTTGCATATAAAACGCCTCTTGTGCCCATTCTATAAACTTTACACATCGCTTAGCAGAAGAACGCCTTTAAGACGTTCTATAAGGCTTATTTCAACCGTTCTCTAATCCCTTTTTTGTAGTAGTGCTAAATTTTTTATGTCTTTGATTTTTGTTTGTTCTGTTGATCTTCAGCTTGTGAACTCTTACTTGAGGCTTCTGAACTTTTGCTTGATAATTTCTTTTTTGTTGCAATATGTTTCACCCTAATAGAATGAATGTAAATTTTAAAAAAATGAACATATGCATATAGAAAGTGAACATAATCATTTTTGAATGAGAATATAAGCATTGAACACATAATCATTTTAAGGAAAAGTGAATATATACATTACATGAAGTGAACATATTCATATAGAATGTGAAATTAAGTTGTTTTGAAATTATAGGCTCATGTTCATATGCATTACTTGTAAGGTGCATTAAGAAGTGGGAGAGTCAAGAAGCAACAAAAAAACGATCAATCAAAATATGAACATATGCAATTCCAAATGTGAATATAACCATTCATAATATGGATATAGCCATCATTTTCTTTAGTGAATATAAGCATGTCAGATATTGAACATATGCATACAGAATATGAACATGTGCATAACAAATATGAACATATGCGTATAAATATATGAACATATGCAAAACATACTAATTGAATTAGAGAAATCATTAACAAATATTTATATAATGAACATTTTGAAATAATCAATGAACATAATGCATAAAAGTAAAGAACATGCAATAGTATAAATATCAATATACCTTTGACATAGCTTAATATAAATGTATGCATTGCTTGTTTCAGATTATGCATTTTATAATGTGAAGTTAAGAATTTTAATATGAATATATGCATTTACAATGTGAACATACAATGTACATAAACATTTCATACCTTTTTCTTTGTAAACTTGTTTTTTATTGATCTTTTTGTGCTTCTTTTGATTTTTTTCTAGTGGTTTTTCCCCTTTTCTGGTGCTTCTTTTGATGGTTCTTCTGGTTAATTTTCCCCTTTTTCTAGTGCTTCTTTTGATGGTTCTTCTGCTGGTTTTTCTTGTGGTGGGTTTTTCTTGTCCTTTTGGTGGTTCAACTTCATTGTTAACTATGAGTAACAAGTTGTGTATAGCAGTGAGCTTTATGTACAAGTTTAAGAATTTGCATAATCACACAATTTAGACATATATTCAGTATGGTTACTTATCACTCTGTCGGTGTTTAGGTCAAGTAGTACAGGTATGACGGTGTTTGGGTCATCAAGTAGTGCAGGTTTAGAGTGGGAGCAGCTGATGATTGAAGCATCGAAATTTGATCATATGTTCAAAAATGAAGACCCTACGTTTGAGGACATTATGAATGACCCATTGAGTTCTGAATTTCACCTTCAAGGGTAATATGATTCCTAACTATGATATATATATTTTTATTAACTAGCTAAGACAGTCTGGTGTAATGTAAAGAGAAAACTAATGTAAATTTTTGGATGAACAAACTAGAAAAAGTAATGTAAAATATTTGTTTTTTGAGTCCTCCCCAAGGTACCATGTACACAAACGATGTATAGAATTTGGGAAATTTCTCTTATACCCGCTACAATAGAAGGTGTTTGGTCTGTCACTATAGTAATCGGATGACGCCCACCACCCATTGATCTCATGAAAGACTCAAACAACAATATTAAACTGTTTATTTTCTCATCAAGAACAAATCCCATACCAAACATGACATTGTTACAATGGTGATTCATACCAACAAAATGGGGCACATATCATGCCATACTTGTTTGTTCTATAAGTAGTGTCAAAAACCATCAAGTCACCAAAGTGTTCATAATCCCTTTTCATTATTCCATCTCTCCTAAAAACACAAGTAAGAGAATTTCCTTCATCTACCTCAAACTGATAATAGAAATCAGCTTCCTTTGCTTTCCTTTGAGCAAAATACTTGATCAATTGATTACAATCCGAGCCATCAAGTCTATTGGCCTTTTCAATAGTCAAAGCATTGTATATATCCTTTCGAGTACACCCAAAATTCAGCAAACCACCAACTTCTTTGGACAAAAGACATAGTGAATCAGTTACCATAACTCCACTTGCCTTCATTACACTTTCGACCTTCAATTGCTCTTTATTCACTTTTGTTTGAGACCTTAACAAATGTCTCTTTTCAATTGGTATTAAAGGATGATAATGATCCATCTAATGATCCACAACAGTCCATACACCTTGTGGATCAATAATGAACTCCACAAAAGCGTCGTAATTTGTACAAAAATCTAACTTCTCAAATACTTCTTAGAGTCATCCTTCAAACCAGCATTTGAACATACATATCTCCTACTTCTCCAAACAGCAGTCTTACCACCTGTTCTTACATTCCCCTTCATTTACTAAAACCAATCTTAAAAGCATAATCATTGTACAAATCATATGCTTCATCATCACTACTTGCAGTTTTTCTCATTAATTCATATTCTTTAGCTTCTATAAATTCAGTTGCAACTGTAGTATCTGATATAAATTAAATAACACTGAATGTTCATAATGTATAATAGATAAATTCATAACTATATGTAAGAAATATTTATAAGACCCCTACCTAAATGCTACAAATAAAATGTTCATTATTAAATGTAATGTTCATTATTTAAAACTCAATGATCATCATTTAATAGACAATGTTCATTATTTAATAAACAATGTTTATAAGTTTATAATTTTTAAATGTAATGTTCATTATTTAAGAATCAAAGTTCATGTTAAATAAACAGTGGTCATAGCTTCATAATGATTAATGATATGTTCATTATTTAATTTAAGAGTCAATGTTAATAACAAATAAAAAGTTACAAAATCATAACAACAAGAAATTGTAGTACGCTAACAATTAATCACAATAATCACCCAAAAATTAAATAAATGTCACATTCATCAAAATTAGCGCAAAATACAGATATTAATATAATCAAAACGATTAATTTCAGTAAATCAAACAAAATTGATAACAAAAGCAAGACATAATCAATAAAATTAATATAAAGCATAAATATATATACATAAAATTGATCGAAAAAATGCAAAAAATCACATTAATTTAATTCATAATAATTAAGAAAATCACATAAAACCTAATCAATCGAAATTTATTACAAAGTCACCACATAATAGTTCAAATTAAACTTTATACATAATAGATCAAATTGATCGAACATAACAAAAAATCAGATGAAATTCTATTATTAATCAATCAAAATTGATCGAAGCTAACCTAAAATCAAACAAAAACCAATTACAATTGAAACTAACCTAAAAAAAACCTAATTACAAATTGCAAAATCAAGCCACTAACCTACATTGACGATCTCTTTGGGAAGAACAACCAATTCCATATTGTAAGGAATAGATTTAGTCGTAAAATTGAAAAAAAACACGAGAAAAAAAAAACAGAGGAAAAAGAAATTAAAGAAGGATGGAGAAAAAATAGAGAATAATTTGTCAAAAAAAAAAACAGAGAAGAAAATATAATAATGAAAATTTTAATGGAAAACTTTGATGAGAATTAGGAAGAAAGGATAAGAGAGAGAATTGGGAAAAAGGAAACCAAAAATTAAAAAAGGAAACCAAAAAATTAGGCGGGAAGAAACGTTAGAACAGAAACTCATGATATGAATGGGATGCGTTTCAAAAAGAATATCATGCGTTTTGCACTGTTGCACCTATTCTACATGCATGAATATGCATCTAAGAATATGCGGTTGCTTTCGAGGTTGTTTTTTCTAGTGTGTTGTATGTTTAGAAGGATCATTTTGTCAAAAATAATAAATGGTAGTGGTGATCAAGATAAGCCCATCCCGGCCCACTTTGACGGGCTTTAGATAAGAATTTTAGCCCATAGTAAAAATTTAGTTTTTAGTTAATTTTTGGCTTGGCCTAAAAAGCCTACTAATGACTTGTTTTCTTCAACTTATTTTAGATACTTATTATTTATTCCTTAATAAATTTTAGGCCCTATTTAGTTCAGGTTATTTTTGCTGAACTGGAATAATTTTTACTAAACTGAAATTATTTTTTGTTGAACTTAAATTATTTTTACTGAACTGAAATTAATTGTACTGAATTGAAATTATTTTTTTTGAACTAAAATTATTTTTATTGATTATCTATTATATATTTTTATTTAAGTTTATTGATTTTTTACTATGCTGAAACTATTTTTACTGAACTGAACTTATTATTACTAAAATTATTTTAACTAAACTGAAATTTTTTTTACTGAATATTTTTTTTAAGGTGAAGCGAATAGGGCCTTAGACCAGACCAGAACTTTTGATTATCATTTACTTATCGTTAAATATCGGTAACTGTGTATTAAAAAATGATAAAATTACATATTTGAAAAGTTCATAATGAGACAAATCTAATAAGAATCATTTTTATAATATTTTTCTTTATAGATTAGTATTAAAATGCGGTCAAAATTTAGTCAAATTGTTAAATCAAATCAGACCAGATAATAAAAATTTAGATTAGATCAAATCAGACCTTAAAAATATCAGACCGCATGTACTTATTTTAGGTGAAGAGAACAAGTCATAAGCTCAGTGTAATTCGAATCTTAGTCTGGCTTGGCTCATACCCACAATGTCACACACTCAATTCAATCACCATCAACTCAGCCCAATCAACCTAAATAATCAACAAATCATAGCATCTAATCACCAACTAAAAACAACACATGCAATATAAGGACAAAATCATATAGGTGAAGTAGTTTTGATTTCGATAAGTGCAATTACTAGATATATCAAGGATCACTATTATGGAGATAATAAGTTCGTTCTTTTGGGTCATCATTATCTGTTGCTAGACTATGATCATTGATTTTTAGGCTAGTCAAATAGTCCAAAGCCCACTAGAAATGATCCTATAAGGTCACACAACAAGGGTATTGGGTTAAGCAAGTTAGAGGCCCATTTATGGGCCTCATGAACAAGTAACCAATCATGAATTGGATTGGGCTAGTATAGTTAGATTAGAGTTAGGATTTGGGCTTTGTCATGGACTCTTATTTAAAGATGAGATCTATAAATAAAGTCCATGCCTAGGGTTGTATGTGACAACACAATTAACAATTAATTGTGCACCAAGCAACCAATAATCCAAAACCTCTGTCTCTCTCTCTCTACCACACGTGTCACGGTCCGGGAGTTTGTACCCCAAAACGTGCGGCGCGCAAGCCTTTTGGCGGCAAGAACGCTAGCCTTGAGCGGAAGAGGGGCTTGCAAGCACAAAGCAACACAAGCGGGAAATTAAATCAAAGAGCACTCACGTCTATTTGGGAGACGGAGTGCGAGAGGTCGGGGCTTGTGACGGCCGATAATTCAAGGCGGGCACAAGCGGGTCCGAACCACGAGATCTTAGTGCATCAAGTTGGTTTGGAGGGGAGCTATTATGCAAGTAAGACACAATATCTATAAAGGTCTAACAACAAACAAGCATAAGGGCAAAGCAACACTTGGTAGAAGGCTTAAGATTTCATTAATCATTCACCCTCTAAAGAGCTTTAAATGACATACAAGGAGAATCCCAAGTGAACACTGATCTGACAGTAACACAATAATGGGACCTCAAGCTAAGAAAGCATAAACTAAACTCTAGGAAAGCAAATAAAGGGAATCTAATACATCAAAAGGAGTTGGATTCTAACATCCTCCCCCACTTAAGCTGTTGACGACCTCGTCGACTTACAAGAGTTACAATCAAAATTAGGAAGTCTTAAACTATATCGAGTTTCTGATGCGCTGTTGATGCGGCTGACTTCTAGAATCTTTGCTGATACTTGAGCTAGGTCTTCTTTGTTGACGAGGAGCTTGTCTCTGGGGTCGCTCGACTCGAACATCTTGTTGAGAGCTTCATCTCTAAATTTCCTCCTAGGAGTGGGGTCTGTTGCATTATGGGGGAGAGCTGCTTCCACGATCATCTGTTGGGGAGCTACTTCCTTGAGACTGTGGTGGAGAGCTTCAAGTTGTGGCTGGTGCCTCTTAGGTGACCATTTTCTTTGTGATCCCTTGCACGTGCCCTGCGTTGTTTGCTCGACCACTGCTTTCCCTCTCTCTTGGGAGGTTCTTATTTGGTGTCTCCAGGCTCGTCTCTCTTTGCTTCAAACCAGGTGTATGATTATGATTTTGGCGGGGGTGCATCTGGGATATTGCCAATTCATTGGGCTTCATCTCCCGCTTCTCTGAGTATCTGGTGCGAGCTTGTTTCTTCGATGTTGACTTCTTTTCTGGCTCCACCACTCGCATTGCCGAAAGGTACCGGACTTCTAGTTCTTTCTCAGGTGCTACCATTCTCATAGCACTCAAGCGTCATATGGAACCCATCCTGTATGTGGGCTCTTCATCGCTGCTAGTCTCTTTTGTGGCCTCCTGCACGGACATGGATGGCAATCTCTTTTGGATCTTGTCAAGCTCTTCTTTATGCTTACAATCCCACCATTTGTGTGGACCTCGACAAAGTATGCATTTTATCGCCCTTGTGTTTGCCAAGGATGCGCTGGCCCTTGAGTTTCCAGAGTTGTGGGAGGGGGTAGATGTTAATCTTTGGGCATCACCTCCTCCACTTTCTCTATGATAAGTATCGATAGTGTTGGATGATACTCGTGAGCCATTCTGTTGATGTTTAAAGGTTTTGATGATGAGGAACTTAAGTTACAGCAAACTCATCTCATAAAGACTTTTCAAGTGTTTGTGCAGCCTAGGTGAAATTGATCTTGGAGATGGAAGAAGTAACTAAAGCTGAGAAGACTTGAAGGAGTTCTTTATCAAGAAAGTTATTCAATATAAAAGAAGAGTTCCCTAACAGGAACTGAGTTCCCTCACAGGAACGTTCCTTCACAGGAACTTGAAGATTGCTGACTATGATCTTTGGAGGAACTTAGTAAGCGTGGAGTCCAAGTAAACCTACCAGAACAAGAGTACAGCGCAGCAATGTTTTAGTTAAGATTTTATCTTCTAGATTCGTTGTTAAATATGTTAATTAGGATATGCATGAAACTTATTAGAAGCGTGACAGTTAGCTTGGCAAATAAATTAAAATCGGAAAAGATAAAAGATAGAAATCGGAAAAAGATTTTCTTTAAATATTTATCTTTTAAAATCAGTTTGTTAAAAAGATATTATGCTTTTTAATTCAATATT